ATGTACCGGTTTTTTTTTACCTTTAACGTATTTGTAGATTAAAAACGGTAAACATTCTTCGACGATCACATTATCACAGCGATGAACATCGCAGAAGTCACTGATGTAATTGTTAAAAAATATCTGTTTAAAATTTGATATTAACTTGGACTTGTGTCCATTTTCATTTAAAAAGTAAAACAAAGGTCCATTTTCATTTAAAAGGTAAAACAATCTGTCGTGAACATTTTCTAACAACGTTATCATCTTATCCCTTCTTCACGTTAATGCTTTATCACTATCTCATTATATAAATTGTCTAGATACTTGAATTCCTCTTCCGTCAATTTTATAGCCCCGTTCTTTCCATGAAAAAAGTCGTCTCTAACAGAGTCAGTGTTTACGCTTATCAGGACATGCTGAGCCAGTAGCACTTCCTTTACCTAAACCAAAATCATATTTTCTTAAAATTACAACTTATATAATATATGTAAGAATGTATAATAATTGTATAATAATTTAATTGTATGTAATTCTCATATTTTTACACATGTATAATATGTATAATAATACATGTATATCTTAGCGTATTTGATATTAAAAAGTATACAACGTTAAAAATTGAGAAGCTATAATTAATTTAATATATTTTTAAGGAATATCTACTTAAAATTGACAAAAAGATTCGTAGTTTAAATATATTGCATTAAAGCGTGTTTAGGTATAGAGATATTATATACATGAATATATTATATTAAAACTACATTAATAAAAATATATCGAAAATATTTATTGATCAAATTACTTACTTGAAACTGGTTTTAGTTATCGAAAAGTAAGATTGCACTGCATCATCCATGAGGGAGTGTGCCTTGACGAAATTAACAGTTTGGCAGTGTTCTGGAGTCGTTAACACAGGCACCGGGTCTGAGGTACCTTTTCCTGAGCTCGCAGCCAGTTGCTGTTTTACGATGTCTCGGTATTCCGACCTTCCGAGAATGATGATAATAAAGTGCGAACTTGTCCATCCGAATCATAAACACGTGTATCTCATTTATGTGAGCCGCCACGATTGCACTTGCGTAACACGCACCTAATTACGCGAAGATTCCGGAGACGCTAGATTGTGGGCGTCTCTTGTTCTTTGAAAGCACCCTGGACTTTCCCAAATCGTCGAGCGCTTTGAAAGCACCGTGAACTCGTGGATGCCACGACCGGCAAAAATGGCGATTCGATTATTCGTTGTTTGCGCATCTTGCTGAATCATTGAGCTGCGCCTGCGCGCGCACTCCCGATATTGCCTGGCCCGGCCGCCATATTGTTTCCTATTACCTAATACTAGCTTCACCCCCATGCCTTAAACAGGATGCCAATCACGTAATCTTCTACTGCCCCATAACCAAGGACAAGTCTGTTCGATTACTTCAATTCATTAAAGGCACGTTTCCACATAACTCACACATATTTCCTATGCTAAAACATCCATCGGCAAAGTTTTGCCGCTTACTCCTCTCCTTTTTTAAGTCCGGATCTACAATAGGTGTTTTAAGCCTTAAGCCATAAGAAATTGACCAATTACAGTCGAATCCGAGAAAAATAAGCGATTGTGATTCGCCCATTTCTTATGGCTTAAGGTTTAAAACGCTATTGTAGATCCGGACTAAGGCAATCGAAACGAACATTTAAGCGAGGAGCACAGACTCTTGCATAACGCATAACACATGAAGCATAAGAAATTGAACCAACCAGAGTTCTCTATTACATGGAAGGGAAAGAAACGGAGAACTTCGATTGGTACATATTCTTATGCATTACGTGCCATGCGTTATGCAAGAGTCTGTGCTCCCCGTTTTAGCAAGCGCTGTGCGGTTTCTTGTGCGGGGCCTCCCTCCCCCTCCCCCGATGGCCCTCTGACTGATGCTTAGAACATATACACATGGAACACTCATTGCCTATACCGCCAATGCATTGGACTGAAGCCAAGATAGGTGCGAAAGAGAAAGGTATAGAAGACCTAAAATTCGCAATACGCATGTTCAGTTCCGTCATTCCGTTCGTCAATCCATTGGAACAAATGGAACAACGTAATAGATGGAACCGCCTGACGAAATTGAAGCGGGGAGCACAGACTTTTGCATAACGCATAACACATGAGGCATAAGAAATTAAACCAACCAGAGTTCTCTATTACATGGAAGGTGTTACGTCTCGAGGGGGCACCGGCCGGCTTCCGGTATCGGCGCTATCCTGAGGCTATGGTGGGATGCTACTTCGCGTTTCGAGCGATAAAATTTCCGCGATGAGACTTGTCCAGCCCACCGATTGGCTACAGTCGGACGCTAGATATCGCGACTATGGTTGATTCCGTTTCGATCCACGGGCTTTCTCCCGTCTCCTCGTAAGCGATGGATCTAAATAATGCGTCGGGGCAATCAGGACAACTCGCGACAGCATGCACCGTGACAGTCAGTACCGAACATACGCTGCAGGATTCGAATCTTTTAACGGCTCCCAAATGAATATAATGCCGTAAGACTCCCTGATAGTTTCCCTTTTCATGCGCCGGCGCAGAAGTATAACATTCGGGACATTTAATAGTCCTGTCCTCTTTGTGTTAGAAAAATAATGCGGAGACGCAACATGCACTATTTAATCACATAGGCCGGTATTCATAGTCGAATCTTATATTCAAGACCGTCTTAAGTACAGTCTTAAGAAGTCACGAACCAATCAGAGGGCTGCATTAGCGTCTTAAGACATTACTTAAGACGGTCTTG